GATGTGACTATGGTAAGTACAGACATGGAATACTGCTATATGTATGAGAATGGAACTGTATAGATGTGACTATGGTAAGTACAGACATGGAATACTGCTATATGTATGAGAATGGAACTGTATNAATACTGCTATATGTATGAGAATGGAACTGTATAGATGTGACTATGGTAAGTACAGACATGGAATACTGCTATATGTATGAGAATGGAACTGTATAGATGTGACTATGGTAAGTGCGTGCAATATATAAAAAAACGTTTCTTTACAACATCTTATAACCTCTTGTATGTATTTCCAGCTACCAGACCAGTGATAACAAGTCTGACCAATCAAAACCTTACAGCTGCATCCAATAGCTATGTAGATCTGGTGTGTAGTGTACAAGAACCATTAATACAGTACATTAAATGGTACACTGGTAATAATGACATCACCACTCAATCTACGGGTGTGCTACGTGGTGCTAATGGAGTCAAGCAGTCTACATTGAGAGTAAACTACACGTCTGATGCTGATATATTCAGTACTTATGAGTAAGTAGAGCGGTGGTGTTGATATTTCACACATATTTCACTCTAAGGTTGCGACTTGGAGTATGTTATATCAGTAAGTTAGAAAAAATTTGGTTGCGAATTAATGAACAAGACATTCCTTATAGGCGTTAACTGGGTCCTTTGTAAGTGTCATTTGTAGACTCATGTAGCGATAGAGAACCTCCCAGTCTGCTTACTGGTAAAAAAATGTGCCTTATAAGGAAAACGCTATCAAATTTGAGGGTTGAGATATTTTCTTTGCTGAGACCTCGAAAGATTTAGTTAAATTCGTCATGATAGTATTGATAAGGTTAAGAGGCAATGTCTGTAAAAATCAAACATAATCAAAAATCCGTGGCCAGGTTGAAAAAAAATCGATTTTGTTCATATTTATTTTTTCATTTATTTTCATAACGATAAACATTTATTGAAGCACATAATGCAGTGAAGCTCTTTGCTTTAATCATCATTTGTTCTCTTCTTCGATCAGTTGTTACAGGTTTGAATACTCGTTGTTGTGCTATAAGCCGTTCATTTGTAAAGCAATGTATGGAAATTTCAACACAGACGCTGATGGGATAAAAAGTGCCGGAGTGAAAGTAAGATATGGTAAGTATTTACAAGTTATGAAAAATTACGGGGAAAATGTGTAAGTGCGTTTTAAAAGTACTGTGTTATCTATTCCCACAGACTACCCGTCTACACAAACGCGACCGACAGTTACATTTCTTAGCTCAACAGCGGTGGGAATAGTTTGGCAAAAGCTTCAACTAACTGAATTCCAGAAACCTGTGACATCATATGTGTTAGTCTACCAAAATGGCACATATTTTAAGGCAATAACGGTGTCCTCGCTTAGCTTGGTGATCACTGGCCTAGAGATCTTCACTAGTTACAATATTACAATTAAAGCTGTTAGTATAGTAGGTGATGGGAAATGGAGTCAACCAATGAACTTCAGAACACATTCAGACGGTAAATACTGCACAGTAATATTCTTTTCATCGAAAGATCTCAAATGATGAATTGTATTTGGTTTATGTATTATGTGTCTCGTGTATTATATATTTCAGTTCCAACAGGTTTTCCTACATCGATTACAGCAAAAGCCTGGACATCACAAAGTATACGTGTTACGTGGCATGTAAGTTAAGGTTCTACCTGTGTACAATCTTGGTTGAATTAAAAACCTTAAATAATCATAGTCAACTACGATGCGCGCACTGCGCAACGGAACTAGTTTCTCCGCTGGGCAAAATGTCGGTTTTGTAGGTGCAGTTTGGAAACCCAGTTCCATCGGTCTTGTTTTTCCTGCTAGATATGTTTTACGAACATCATGCAAAGAAAAATGCGCAGTGCAAAACAAGAATTTACCTTGAGAAATTAAAGCATTTTTTTTAAGGCACCAACATCTGGAATCAATGGTCCTTTTCTTGGATACAAGGTAATTTGCATATCAGGAAACGAGAGACATGAAAATACTTCTCAACAAACAAGTCATACGTTCAGTGGTCTGAGAAAGTGGACAGTGTACAACGTCACAGTGGTCATACGTAACGATAAGGGAGATGGACCTATCAATAGTTACGCGCTTATTCAAACATTAGAAGATGGTGAGTTCCTTCTGATTTGAGTTTTAGATGTAAGTAACATCACAAGTAGGCTGATTGCAGCACGACTTTAACTCTACTGGCTAAGACGGTCCGCAAAATTACCTGACCCCCAGGTTGCACGATAAAATATAATAGATTGTGATTGGCTACTAGGCTAAAAGTAGACCCCCCGCAAGCTTCACGCACCCTACATTCTCAATATTCTGTAGTCTGATGTGTGTGTTTTTTAACTCGAATGAAGCAAACATATAATTTATACAGCTCCTGGACAGCCGCTACGTTTCCAAGTCACTGTTCTTAATTCAACTGGTGTTCGACTGGATTGGGCTTTACCACGTGAAACAAATGGTATCATAAGAGGGTTCAAATTGCGCTACGAAAAATCTGGTAACAAGTTAGAGAAGGATTTACCTGGTAATACGACTCTGACATATGTGCTGACTGGACTGGAGAAGTGTACTCTGTACTCCTTTAAAATGTTGGCCTATACAGTCAAAGATGGCCCTTTTACATCTGTGATCCAGAAAACAACAGCAGAAGATGGTATTTAGGAATATATTTGATAATTTGTTTTTCACTTAAAGTGCACTTAATTTCTGGTACAATACTTTCAGTATTGATTCTACATGAATTAAATAGTAAATGGCAAAACAATTCTTCATTTGAGGCTCGTTAGGTTATAAAGATACATACTTCAAATATGAGTGTGATGTCAAAACATCATCTCATGTTCATGTTTTACGCAGTGTTTGTTTTAAGTTTTGTGTATTATAAATGGCAATATCTGTATTGCAGGTTCAACAAATACGAACCGCAAATGCCTAGTATAACGTAAAGAGGCAGAGCTCAAATGCGTAAAATATTTCACCATTCACCTATTCACTTCGCGTAAAATCAATACTGAAAGTATTGTATCGGGCATTCGGTGCAATTTACCAAAAAAATAATACTAATCGAGCGCACGGGTCCCTGTACTATGATATAAACAAGCTTGCAGCTGTAGAGAGCGAGGGAAGCAATCTTTTATATCACTGTGTATATCACTGTTTATATCACAGGACAGAGTCATAAGCAACCGTTTTGTATTTCGTATTTTTGGACGATTTTGCGAGGGCTTGTCTCTGTTAGCTACCTGCACAGCCGCTGTAATGCGCTTCCGGTTTCCGTCTTTCCTCCACTAGCGCCTGCTCCAAAATTTTTGAAAAGACAAAAAAAAAATTTCTCTTCGTTTTTTATTAAATTGACTTGTTTTCAAAATACTAAAACAATTACTCTGATACTTGATATGAATATGTATATGATCGATTTTTATGCAGGAGCCTGTTTACTTTCTCTCGGTATAGGACAAGCGATTAGATAATCATATTGTTCATAGATAATATTTTAATTACTTTTGAGGGTTTGCCAATGAAAACACGTTATTTTCCCCCGCTTTTAAAAGGATTGGGTTCTAACCTTGTCAAAGTATCTAAATGGTAGAAAAGGTGTAGGTTTAAGGCGGCTCGAAATGGTTTTTCTTGAGCGCGCGCGCTCTATAAATTTTAATATTCAAGCTGAAAAAAAAAATCAAAAACTCTGCCTTGAAATTTCTTCAAATTTTGCATATGGCTTTAGTTTATGTTTTCAAAAACTTAAGAAAAAATTTAAAAAATTCTGTAGGAGGGAACTATTCCAAACAACTTTTATTGATTTGAACGAATTTCATATTACAGATTTTTTTCTTTTTTTGCCAAAGAGAAGATTACGATACAAAGTTTAAATATTCCGGTTTTTAAAAAAAAATCACCATTTGTTTCCTGAGTTATGATTTTTCAAATAAACATTTTTGATGGCATACCAAGGGTTCTGATGCTGTCATAGCAACGTCTGACGCCTTTTTCATGCTCATTGTGATTTTGGTTTATGGTCTTGGCTTTCCAGGTTTACTTGCTGTCATATCATAGCCATATTATTATTTTTTAGTTCATAATTGCAAGTGTGTATGAAGGCACAAAACACTTTCCAGCCTCCTTAATTCAATGCAACTGTTAAAACGTCCCTTTTTTACTCGACAGCTCCATCTGTTCCTACTAATTTCAAGGCAACCATCACTCCTCCCAGCGGCCCTTCAGTTCCACAACTAACACTAACCTGGGGTAGACCTGCGGTTTGTGGTAATAATATTCGCTGTTACAAAGTATCATACAACCATAGTGAAGATCCCTCAATAGAAGTGGAAACTGTCGATAAAAGCCAACTGAAGATAACGATACCTGTCTGGGGAGGAGTGACATACGAGTTTCGTGTCAGTGGAGTCACCAACAAGGAAGGACCAGACACCCCCAGAAAGGTGGTTGCAATACCAATTTATGGTAAGTATCAAGGCCGATCTACACGCTGCAATTTTGCGGCCTTATTTTCTGCCATGATGTATCGTAAGGCAAATCGTGCGAGTGTTGTTTGGTACTCGATTCAAGCTCTATTTGAATGTTCTACCCTGTGAAAAAGTCAGGCCAAAATGGACAATTTGTTACAGTGCTACAGATTTTGTAAATTGGGCAATTTTTTTTTTTTTTTTTTTTTTGGCATCGGAAAAATCTGAAATCGTATAGGGTTCCAAACTACAGGCACAATATATTTGCTTTTCAATTGTGTCGGTACGATTACAGTGAGTGATTTCCCTCTTAAGTTCTTCTAGGCTTTATTTTTCTTTATTTCAGCAAATTTGTTTTCTTTTCTAGCACCCAGTGTTTCACCTTCTAACTCCACAATCAGCGAGATTAATGAAACAACATTCAACGTGTCCTGGGTCGAAATTCCACGAAGTAAATCTAATGGTCCTGTTATTGCTTATGAAGTTAACCAGACATTAGAGAGAAGAAGACCAAAAGCTAGGAGATCTATTTTTGCTTTAGTACAAGTAAAGCTGATGAACTCCTCTTGTTGTAGTCTTCAATTATATGATCTACTTCTTTGTACTGAGTATCACATTTCAATAAAAGGATACACAAGCGCTGGTGCAGGACCTAGCAGTGATCTCAGATCCCTGGTAACCTCTGGTAAACATTGAAAGCAACTTTTCCAGTTAAATTTTTTTTATTATATTAGCTTTAACAATTAATTTTTTCCACCAATGCCATGCCATCTCACCCCCTTCAATCCTATAGCACCTCATCCTTTCCCATTACATCCGACAAAACCCACTCAACCACAAGTCCTTCATTTTATCCCTTAATTGGCATCCCTCTCCTCCTCTCTAACATCTTTTTTCATCCTTTCCTTCTTCCTTTTAGCATATGCAGTAATTGCTCATGTACTTATTCCATATTATATATATACACCTACTTGCAAGAACGTTGTCATACAAAAATAGAACATTAGTGATTTAGTGGGATAGGAATTGTATTAAAAAACAAAAGAAGATCACTGAAGCTGAAATTTTTCTTTTGTCTTTTAATAAATTCCTTTCTCACTAAATTACAAATGTTCTATTCTTGTATGTCAACCTTCTTGCAAGAAGGTGTATATATAGATAGATAGATAGATCTTTTGACTCTTTCTTTTTCAGTCCCAGGCCCTCCCGTAGATCTTAACATCCAGAGAACCAAGAAAAGAGAAATTTCCTTAAAATGGCAAAAACCTGAATTGATTACAGAAGCAATAGAGAGCTACACGGTGTGTACGTTTACTTATGACCACTAGATTCAAAAGATTATCCACTACCTAAAAACTAAAACACCACTTAAATAAAATCAAAAATCCAAAGCAATAGACTTTTCAAGTTCCAAACTGTCTAAGTCCTTTTGGCACCCTATTTGTAATTTACAACTATATGACAACTTTCAATGTTATTGAAATATTGTTATAGTTTATCTGATAAGTATTCATCCTTTGTTACTAGATGTTATTTGAAGGACAGAAAGACTACAATAAGAGCTTTGTACACAGCGGTAGCCTACTTGTATCATCCACAAATATAGAGGTACCAAACCTATATCCAGGTACTCGTTACACGTTCCGAGTGTCTGCCACCACTGCTTGTGGTAAAGGAGACTACAGTATATCGTCATCCAGCACTACGAAGGTGGATGGTAAGTGATGCCAAGGATATCTGCTGAAAAAGGGAAAACATTAGACTCAAGCTAAAGAGGTCTATTGAAATACTGTAAAAGCAAGTGACGTATCTTCGCTTGTGCTCGTTATAAATGCTAGGCGACGCTCGGTTTCGGAACAACAGCTCCACATTTTTTCAGGCCCTCGTTTCCGCAATGCTGCTACTATTATTTCCTCCGGACCCTTGGTGGTACATCCGTGAAGCGTTCAACGTCTTTGCGGTTGTTCGAGGGTAGAGCAAGAAATATCATTTGCACAGGATGGGTTAAAACTGTACTGAGCATCCGAGACTCGAAAGTGGTCAACTGAAAATAAATATACACATTGCCATGTAATTTTTTTTAATTAGTTTAGTTTTTAGTTTTATTTTAGTTTTAAACAATGATCTATGTAGTTAACAAGATTAAACAAGAGCAATATGGAGAATGCTCTTGGCCTGAGTCCACATAATTCAGGGATTAAGACTCAAATGACTTTCAATTTTCTAAATGCATGGTATTACATTTGGTTATTTAATCGATTAATCGGACAAAAATATATTTAATATAAAGAGTTTTGATGCAACGATGGGAAAAGGAAACCTTTCAAAAGAAACTCTTTGCAAAACCTGCTTTCCCTATAGCCACCTCTTATACATTAATATTACACATACAACTAAAAATAATGAAATAGTGTAATTGAATAGTTTATATGCAGCTCTCTCTGTTTGCGGTTTATTTATTTATATTGTATTATTTTACATTCATTTTTTATTTTTATTTATTTATTCATTTATTTTTTTTATTTTTTTAATATATTGAAAATGTTACTATTGTGCTGTAAATTTCTTGTATACCGATTATTATAATTCGTTATCCTTGTAAATATATCTCTTAAAGGCAATAAAACGTTCAAAAAAAAAAAAAAAAAATGAAAAGTTTACAATGAAAAATCCGTTAATTATGGTTTGAAGAATAAGTGGATCCAACTAACTTTAAAGTTGACATATTTCTTCATTGACAGCTCCACCTGCTCCTGTTGTTGGATTTGTTGGTAACATCACGTCAGAAGTGAACAATATCACAGTTTGGGGAAGTTCAGATATCAATGGACCAATCAAGGCTTACCAGATCATTGTTGTAAAAGTGGATACAACCTGTTCTTTTGGTGAAATGAAACTAAAAAGCTACGAAGAAGCAGAAAAAGAAGAACTCAACTACTACATGGCAGCAGAGATTGTAACAAACCCAGACAAGAAATTCCCACGAGTTTTCATTCTTGGAGACGAGAAAGAGTACAATGGATACCAAAATGTTAAAATGAAGAAAGGAAAACCATATCAAGTGTTGCAAAGAGCTCTGACGCAAGATGAGAAAAAGGTAAAGTAGGTATTTCGCTCTTTCGTGGTACAAGTATTACACATGTCTTCGTGCGGCACACTAGTGCCAAAATGTTGACCGGGCCGGGCTTGATTTGTTTCAAAGATTTCTATATGACGGACACGAGTTCACAGTATAGTATTCAACGGCTAAGCAATAGCAATGAAAAAATCAATGGCTAGGAAATACAATATCACTCAGAAACGAGTGGGAAAAATCTTTTGCCCGAGGTCTTTGATAGTTTTTCCCTATCCAGACCGACTTTAAATAACTTATGTATGTTTTGGCCTTTTACTTTTCCATCTATTTTGTTTAGTTGTTTAGCAATCTGTTATCATATGCGAGCGCATATGACGTAAACCTTACCGCTTGCACGTGCAACCATTCTGAACGCACATATTTTTAAGGGGTACCGGACCGAAAAAAAATTACTTCTTGAGGATACTTTTGTAATAAATTTGAAGAGAAAATCACGATCTTATATTTTGTAAACATGTTCAGAATGTATTGCTGCTTTTTGATATAAACTAATGCACTTAAGCTGATTTTTTTATCTACTTTGCTTAAATTTAGGAGTACTTGGCAGGCCCAAGAACTTTGATAGCAAGGGGGAAGATATCAGAAAAGAAAGGTTCATAATATATGAAATTTGCCTTAAAACTAGAGTTGCAATGAATTTCATTTTAATGTTGTTCCGTCTAAATTAAATAATCGCCAACAAAGTTTTTGTGCGTGCACACATCGTGGGCTGGCATTGCGCTCATGACTTTTTATGACGTGCGCAGTAACTTCATTTTTTCATAGTATGCAGCCACTGCACCATAAAGTTGCTTGGTGGGGCATTTTTGCCAAGTGACATTTTCTTTTTTTTTAAATTTTTTACTCATATTCCTTATGTTAAAAATAATCGCATAAAATCTCAAATGCAAAACTGAAGTTAAAAAAAGTTTAAAAATATGATCTTCCATTTTATTCTATATATACATATATATAATTTTCATATATGTTTATAATATATATGATGTCTAGTTTTTTTCTAAACCTTAGAGTCATTCTCCGGGAAATCGCGGACGGACGCATGTACAGCTTGTATAGGTACGTAAACAGCTTTTATTAAACTGGATTAAAATTGGGCACCCTTGCAACACAGAGCATTAAAACATTTCCTATCACAGTGATTTCAAACCAAGTTTAAGATATCTGTTTTATTCTGATATTTTCCAGATTTTTCATTTTTTGCTGCTAGTTTGGCATTCAACGTAGCTTTTTTGGTTGTCATTGTCCTGGTTGTAGTGCACAACAGAAAGCTGAAGAAACAACTTGGTAAGTTAAACTCAAAATACTTCAAACCTATTCATATTGCTGGCCGATTTTCTTTCGACTTTTTAAATTAAATGTAAAACACCGTCCGATGTTGCAAGTGGATTTTAGCAAACGGCAATAAATAGTTGCTTATTCGCTCTCTGTTTTCGAGAGTTTTACTTCGGGTTATAAAGCATTTCATTTATTTTGGACAAATTTCTACAATTTTACATTAAAATTGGCAAAAAAGAAAAAAGAAGAAAAAATTAAAAAAGTTGCTATATAAATAAATAATTAAAGAAAAAAGAAAAAAAAGAAAGATAGAAAGAAAGTATTAAGGACTTGATTAACCGACTAACCGACCTATGTAAGGCTGTCAAACTTGTGTCAAAGTCAAGCTAATTATTGGATATACATTTTTAATTTGCAGAAGAAATGAAGAAAGTTAAAGAAAAAAGGTGAAAACTGGTATACTTATTCTGGAAAGAATCTGGAAAGAAATTTTTTGTTGATTGTGTTTAGCGATAAGGATACCGAACAGATGCTATTATAAATATGAGAATATACAATAAAACTAGCCTCGAAAATAGAAACCCTTCTGATTGAATTCGCCCTTGTAGCCGTTAACTTTTTGAATTTCAATAACTCTGAGGAAATGTCGTTTATTTTTCTCCATAGGCTTGATATTGCATTTACACAAGATGTTTACGCGGTGAGTTGCAAAGGGCTACCTTGGGTTCCTGAAACCTTGGGTTCCTCTCTCTCTCTCTCTCTCTCTCTCTCTGTCTCTGTGGTCTATATTATCCGAGCAATTGAAGAAAGCTAAGTTATTATTCATACGTGAGAAACCACTTTAAACCTCATGGAACACGAGAAATTGTAGACGCTCGCCTAGGGATTATGTTTTCAAATGCCCACTCGTGTTTTCTCGCAGTGTAAAACGTGGTTTATTAGCCTTCATTAATCGTTAAACATACATTTATTCGTAAAAGATAATTTATTCTAACTAAAGTGCTTTTAAAATAATTGCCTAAAAGGCTGTCGAAACATTCAAAAACATGAATGAGTCTAAATACCGCTTAAGAACTGAAAAAGAATCTTAAATGAAGGCTATTTTGAAACTTTTTTTAATTTTACAGTTATTTTGCGGAACTAGCGGTAATCTGAACAATACGAGTAATACGTAAAGCTTTAATTAAATGGCCTTAAATATGAAATATACCTTGAATTTAATGCACTCGTAAATTGAATGTAAATGTATAGTTTACTTTGCATAGCAACAAATTTAAGGGTGTCGCGGTCCTTAACTTCAAATTAGCTTTTCTTTTAATGAAAGTGAAGCTTATTTTCTGACATTAATTTGCATATATGTCACAATGTATATGTACATTAAGTCACTAATTTAAACTGCATTTACATCATCTTTACGCGATGTTTATTAAAGATGAAGATTAAACTACTATATCAGTGGTGTAAAGTACTTAAAGCAGCTGTACGCTCAAGGACGGATCCAGCCAAAATTTTAGGGGGGGGGGGGGCTAATTGAGTTTAGGGGGGGGGGCTAATTGAGTTTTTTCTGTAAACACAACGGAAAACAATATAAAAGGCTTCAGCCCCCTTTGCCCCCACCCCCTTGGATCCGCCCTTGACGCTAAGAATGCAAATGCGAAAACCTCCTTTTTTGTGTACTGTGATTGTACTGACCATAAAATAAACAACGGTTTTCAGTCATTAGCTTATCGATCAATCGTAAAAAATGCTGTTCTTTGATTTTTTTCTAGATTTTCCTAAAAAGACGTTTATAAAAACGTATTTCTTGTGATTTATTTTATTTGAACAGAACACAAATACAATTGACGCAGAGGAAGGACTACCAATGGGCCCTTTACCTGCCCACGCAGGCTCCACATACGAGCAGATACATGGTACAGTAGATCCATCAGATGTACACACGGAAGTTTCTGGTCCACAAACCATAGCTACTAATGTTGGTGGGGGATACTATGATTCGATTAACGAAGGAGGCAAATCCAATCCTAATGAACGAATATACGAAACTATTCATCCGGAAACGCAATCATCGAATCCTGACAAACTGCAAAATACCAACGAGTCCCCGGTACAACCTACGTATCAACCCCTTATGCCCCAGACTAAACCGGTTTACGAAAGCCTTCATCTTTAAGAAATTTAAACTCAAATTGAAAAAGGGCCCGAAAAACTTTATAATCAACATTAACGACAGGATTGCTGTACGCTATTAGCCATATTCCAAATTTGGTAAAACATTGTGTCTAGTTGGCACTGTAGTGCATTGTGATACTCTCTAGGACGAAATAGTCGCCATCTGTTGGAAATGTGTCACCCAAAGCAGTCTCACAATGTACTGCAATGTCCACTCGACACGAGAATTTTTCTCAAACTCTGATTGGCAAATAGTGTTACAACAAGATTAAAATTAGCATAGAGATGTTGTGGATGTTATTTCATGCATTAAAAAAAGATTACATTTGTTTGCTTATAGATTTAAAAAAACTTACCTCAGACAACCTTGAAAACATAGGAGACCCCAAGTGTGTTTACTTATGCATTTAAAGAAAGATCACATATTCGTTTGCTAATAAATTACAAAATGTAACCATAGACAATGAAACTAATACTTTTACTGAGCACTATCTCTAGAAAACAAAGGAGAAGGGATAATATTATCTGTTATCACAGAAATGAATATTTAAAAAAAAACGGTGTTTGTTAATTAGAAAAAAAATTAAATAAAATATTGAGTCACAAAGACTTTAATCTTGATGATTAGAGGCATTAATGTCACATGTTAATGACGTGGCGTAATCCTCGGCCTAATGTACATACCCAGATATGAATTCCGTGTCATACTTTGGCTTCATTGGTCTAGTGCATGGTCAACAGCGTATCATTAAACATGCAGGGATTCTCGTCGAASCAAGGAGTTTTCCTCAAGTGTTTAACCGTTTTCATATCTATCATCCTACATCAATCGACTGGTAAGTTTCTATTCTTACTATATAATGGATTTGAAAGTGAAATTATGATAAAAGATAAAATAAAATGAAAGTATATAAAGCAATATAGAACAAGCTTATAATCAGCCATTTCAAAAACAAACCATAATCTTGAGCAAGAAGCTAGAGACCAGCTATACTGAGAACATTCTTGGCTTAATAGATTAGAAGTTCTTAAGCATTTTAAGACTGGTGTTTTACAGGCAACTCGGTAACTGTTGTTGTTATTGTTACGTTGAAACAATCGGATAAATGCAAATGCATTCTCATGATGGACATGYACACTTTTTCTCTCCATAGCTTGTTCGGAACGTCCTGTGGGTATAGCAAACAGTACTATCATACCAGATGACAGATTTACGGCRTCTTCATATTATGATACTAATGGCGATACACGTTATGAACCAAAGGATGCACGCCTGAATGGAGCAGACAGGGGATGGGGACCAAAAATGGAAACTGACCCTAACGACTATCTACAGATAGACTTRGGTCATGTGTATGTTATTTGTGCTGTGGCTACACAAGGTGCGAATGGATTCCATGAAAGGACAACTCAATACAAGATATTAACATCTATTAACAACGCCATATGGACCACTTACAAAAATGGACAGACAGACAAGGTATAGAAAGTTTATGCTCAATGTCTTAGATACTGAAGATTTGCTTCATACGTATCAATAAAATTGCTATTTTTCTTCTAGTTGTTTCCTGGTAATACAGATAGTAATACTGTTGTCAAGAATGTCTTAGATGTTGCTATTTTTCTTCTAGTTGTTTCCTGGTAATACGGATGATAATAATGTTGTCAAGAATATCCTACATTATCCAGTTGTGGTTAGATACATTAGGTTTGTGCCCACTACTTATAACAGCTGGAAAGTACTTCGCGTTGAAGCTTATGGTGTTCGCAAAGGTAAGTCTGGGTGACARTGTTTCCAGTTYGATTTGATCTAATTTTAGAGAAGYTAATSAGCTAACTACTTTACGTTATCGCAATATCTGTCTAAAATTATTTTCTCTCAATTTCCTAACGTAACTTATTAAATAAATGGTATGTGTCGTTCCCATAAGAAATTTACGGGATACTCGGCTTTCCAATTGGGATCCCCTCTTTTAGCTCTTTTAGGTTATTATAGTAGACGCGTGTACCATACACATTTTGTCGGAAGTCAAAGCTTCCCGCTAATTTAATTCTTACCAAAAGGAAACGAATTTCTAAGCGGATGGATTAGTTTCAATGGTAAGCACCCCTGCTCTTTCACTATTTAAAAAATATATTTGAAAGATAATTTTAAAATCATAGCATTTTCAACACATGATCAAAATAAAAAGTGGTCGATGCTTCTAGCTTTTGCCCATGCCCATGCCCATTGCTTTTTATGTTGAGTGACTTCAAATGTTGTGGTTAAAGTCGCGTAGTGATTTATCATGATGGGACATGCACATCTTTGTTTTCTTTTTYCCCCTCAGGTTGTCAGGAACGTCCAGTAGGTATAGCAGAAAGTAGCATCATACCAGATGACAGATTTACAGCATCTTCATATTATGTTGGTTATGACGGCGACACTCGTTATGAACCAAAGGARGCACGCCTGRATGGTGCASAAAGAGGATGGGCACCAAAGACAACAACCGACGCTAATGACTATCTACAGATAGACTTGGATCAAGTGTGTGTTATTTGTGCTTTTGCAACACAAGGTGCAAACGGAATACATGAATGGACTACCCAATACAAGATATCAACATCTGTGGATAACAGCACGTGGACTATTTACMAAAATGGCAGCAATGATAAGGTAAAGAAAACTACAAAATTGGTCGATAACTTGTAATTAATAATAAGAATAATGCTTTTAAAGTTTCTTTATGCTGCCACTATTTTTCCTGGTAATACATGTAATATATACAGTATGAGTGGCCGTGTTGTATCCGATATACAAACTCGAGGCGTAGCCGAGAGTTTGTATATTAGATGCAACACGGACACGAATACTGTAGATTACTTATCAAACGTCTAGGTTAGTTCCTTTGTGTTTCGCTAAAATTTTCAAGATAAATGTGAATCTGGACAAAAAATCCATTTTAAAGTTTATGCAAATGAACAGGATTCTGTATCTGATTTACAAAACTCTTCGCGGTCGTGATTTCTGTTGTGTTTTCTCATGMATTATTAATGAGTTTAATAACTAGTAATACTGTTGTCAATAATGTCTTAGATGTTGCTATTTTTCTTCTAGTTGTTTCCTGGTAATACAGATGGTAATACTGTTGTCAAGAATGTCCTAGATTATCCAGTTGTGGCTAGATACATTAGGTTTATACCCACTTCATATGACAACTGGAAAGTACTTCGTGTTGAAGCTTATGGTTTTCGCARGGGTAAGTCTGGGTGACARTRTTTCCAGTTTGATTTGATMTAATTTTCGATAAGSTAATTAGTTTTTARGTTATCCCAATATCTGTTTCAAATCGAATTTCTATCGTTTTCCTAACTTATTAAGGGCGTTTGCCATTTACCCGGCAAAACTGTAAATTCCGGTTGGGAAACAAATGGCGGTGTGTTTTTCCGATCAGAATTACAGAAAACTCGGCTTTCCAATTGGGSTAATCCACTCTTTCCTCTCTTTTCGGTTATTAAAGTAGACGCGTGTACCATATGCATTTGTCGAAAGTCAAAGCTTCCCGCTGTCGGTTKTAATTCTCACCATAATCAAACGAATTTCTAACCGGATGGATTAGTTTCAATGGTAAACGCCCCTGCTCTTTCACTATATATCAAAAAAGGCAAATGTTTTTAAAGTCATGCATAGCATTTTCAGYACATGATGGAAATAAAATAAAGATGGTTGATGCTTCTAGCTTTTGCCCATGTCCATTGCTTTTTATGTTGAGTGACTTCAAATGTTGTTATTAAAGKCGCGTAGTGGTTTATCATGATGGAACATGCACACCTTTTTTTCTCCTCAGGTTGTCAGGAACGTCATATAGGTATAGCAGACCGTAGTATCATACCAGATGACAGATTTACAGCATCTTCATATTATGTTGGTTATGATGGCGACACTCGTTATGAACCAAAGGAAGCACGCCTGGATGGTGCACAAAGAGGATGGGCACCAAAGACAACAACCGACCCTAATGACTATCTACAGATAGACTTGGATCAAGTGTATGTTATTTG